CCCCAAAACCCCAAAACCCCAAAACCCCAAAACCCCAAAACCCCAAAACCCCAAATGTATAAAATGAAATTGAAGAAATTTTAATTAGAATTAAATATATTTTATTATGAGCACTAAGACAACTGAAGAACAGCCAATTTTTGACTTCATTCCTTCTAACCATGATGAGCTGGATAAAATTATTCAGAGTCAAGCAGTTCAAGCTCCAATGCTCTTTGTTGATTTTGAATCAACCCGAAAACCATTGCTTTTGCCGCCCCAGAATATGGACACGGAGGCCAGTTTTGAGGCAGTTCAATCATTTCTCAGCAATTTATCCAATGTTTTAAAACAAACTGTGGCTGATCCATCCAAAAAGCAGTTAGAGAAAGCTTCTGATGATGATAATAAAGAGAATAAACAGCCCAATGATAGCTCTCATGATAAACAGAGCACTACCTCAGAATCTTCATCAGGGCACCAAAATTTGGACATTTCTTCTTCCGGTTCTAAGAAATCAAAAATAAAGATAACATCAGCTAAGAATACTGAACAAGTTGAGATAGAGAAAGACTCTAATAGTATGAACTTCCTGGATGATGTCCCAGCTGAGCCTTCCTGTGCCTTGCTTAAAGAATACAAGTTCTCCTTCAGCTATCAATCTAGCAAAGGACCTGGGAGGAGGAAAAGGTTCATTCACTGAGGATATGGAAAATGAGATAAGAAGTTCCACAAAGCATGGAATTTTGTAGACCATGCAAGAGTTCACCTAGGCATCAAGCCTTACAGGTGATCTAAGTGCGAGAAAAGCTTCACGCAGAAGGGTAACTTAAAGAAGCATGAGAAGACCCACTCTAAATAACTTAATCTGTAATATAATTAAGCATATACTGCTCTTAGTGATCTCTTTTCTTGTTTTAGAGCTGATTTATCTACTCTTTAAATATCCTTCTTGGGTACTCGAACTGGGAGCTTTAACACTGGAGATAATGTAGAAAGCATCTAAAACTTTAGCATTACTCTCTAACTATCTCAAGTGAAATAACTATCTGAGCAATTCCTCTTAAGAAGTTTGCCTGTAGAGTATTCTGTAAGCAAATTTTCAACCTAGCTACATAAAATACACAGTTTAAGTTACAGAAAATATTCAGCCCAAAATTGTGTCATATTAAAGTTCAAAGCCTTATTTTAACAATTAAAATCAAGAAGAGGGAAAAGTAAAGTTTTAGATGAAAAAGTACTTAATTCTGACCGGTTATGAATGTAGCCATTTAGGATAACTCTTTACAACAAAGATAGGGCTTTTACACATTGGGGTTTGGAATAAAATGGCATTTCTTCCAAAATTTGCTCTGAATTTTTCAAGAATTCAGAAACTTGTTGAAGATCAGAGTAATTTTAAGAGTTTAACACTATTCTTTACTATTCTATAAAATTATAGAAAGTTAAAATTAGATCATTCCATTTTAAATGTTAGATCTAAAAATGGATCATAGAAAATTCTTCTATTTCGGACCTTAAGTTGCTACATTAACCAAATTAAGTTTATCAAAGAGCAAAAGCACATTACACAATTTCTATTCTATCTTTATAAGTATCGTAGTGGTATCATTAAAGACTCTGATGTTGGCACCAAAATTGGGCTTTTGGATTTTCAACTTTAATGTATTATCTAGGGGTTTTGGGGTTTTGGGGTTTTGGGGTTTTGGGGTTTTGGGG